TTTCTTCAAATATTTCCAACTCATCGGATGAACATAATTCTCCACCACCGAAAAGAAAAATGCCGCCACCAGAGAGGAAATGGAAAGAGGGTAGTTTTATCCCAACAATTGAACAATTTACTATTACCCATTCTGGAATTTCAAACAACTTACTAAACACTTCTTTAGAAACACCATTTGACTTCTTTGAACTTTTTTTCGACTCATCATTTGTTGGAAATATTGTTACACAAACTAATATTTATCGAAATCAGACCAATTTTACTGCTGCAGCAAAAACGGCTCCATGGACCGATACAAATATTCCAGAAATGTATGTCTTTTTTGTTGCCACTATACTCATGTCTTATACCAAGAAAAATCGTATAAAAGATTTCTGGTCCACGGATAATCTTATTGCAACACCAATTTTCGGTAGACTATTTACACGGAACAGATATTTATCACTTTTACGTTATTTGCATTTCAACGACAATACATGTGCCACTCCCGGTGATCGACTTGTGAAATTAAAACCTATTTTACTGAATTTGAAAGAAAAATTCAGTAAATCAATGTATCCATACAAAAATCTTGAGATCGATGAAAGTCTGATGTTGTGGCGAGGAAAGCTACTATTCAAGCAATACATACCATCTAAGCGTCATCGATTTGGCGTTAAATTATTTGTATTATGCGACTGTAAAACTAAACTTATATTGGATTTTATTGTATACACGGGAAGTACAACTGAAATAAAAGATTTTCCTTCATTGGGAATATCAGAATCAATCGTCACGACACTCATGGAAAAATATCTTCACGTTGGTCATGTACTTTATTTGGATAATTGGTACTCCAGTCCCACTTTATATGAAACACTTCATGACATGAAAACTGGAGCTTGTGGAACAGTCCGCTCAGATAGTATTGGACTGCGGAAAATTCTCAAGAAATTGAAAGCAGGAGAAAAAGTATCTCAATTTACTGATAACCTCTTATATCTCAGATGGTATGATAAGAGGGAGATAAACATGTTGACTACTATCCATAACGATGACATGATTCGAACTGAAAAAATCAATCACATCACAAATGAACCAGTTGTAAAACCGCGATGTATTGTGGACTACAACTCAAATATGGGAGCAGTAGATAACACAGATATGCAAGTAAGTTTTTCTGAATGTGTCAGAAAAACAATTAAATGGAACAAAAAGTTATTTTTTCACATTATGGACATGACTCTTCTGAATGCTTACATTATGTACAAGGAAAAAACTGGGAAAAGACTTAAGTTTTTAGATTATCGTCTAGAAGTTGTACGTGAGATCGTTCACAAGTTTGGAAATATGAAAAAAGAAGGTAAAGGAAGACCATCATTGTCATCAACACCTCTTCGTCTTACCGAAAGACATTTTCCATCCCGAATACAACCAAATGGCAAGCAAGCTATCCGAAGACGAGCATGTATTGTCTGCAGTAGAACAGAACTTGGACCAAAAAAGCGTACCGATACTTTATATGAATGTGTGGAGTGTCTATGTGTCGATGACTGTTTTAAAAAATATCATACTTTAAACCGTTTTTAAATAGATATAAACTCATTTCATGTGTTTTAGAATGTAAAAATAAAAATAAAAAAGCTTAATTTCTTTCAAAATTAAGCCGGTCCCCAAACGGTTAAACCTGTCTTCTACGTCAGAAACTCATGTTTGTCCTAGACCATCCATTCCTAATAACACTTTCTTAGAATGTGTCTTACCTTTGATACTGGAACTTTGGGCTCGAAATATTGAGTTTTCTCAGTTACGGCAAAAATTAGGATCGAAAAGTACACTTTTGTGCTCTTCATTCGTAACGCCACATTATCTAGATAATGCAACGCCTCGCAGATAACGATACGTTATTGCACATGTTGTATATGGAGAATAAAGAATGAGATTAAAAAATATGGAAAATAAGAATTTAAGGAAATAAGAATTTAAGAAAATAGGGAAAATAAGAAAATAAGGATAGTAAGAAAACCCATGTGTTAACTAACACTTTGAATTTATAATATAAGTTGTTATTAGGAATTATTCTCAGTTTCTTTAATATCTCCTGGACACGATATGGCATGGGAATTCATTTCGGTATGCAACGGATGATCATAATGCGTTTTGATGTATATGGTGTAGTTGCGAATTCTCTATTATTTTCTTGCCAAGTGGGGAAGATGCCATGAGAGTGAGTCACGATCGTTATCTGACCTGGATGGTGACCTGCACTAGTATCCGTTTCGAAATACAACGTACTCAGTTGTTTTCTGAATACTTTTGTTAGAAAAAAGACAAAAACTTGCGGTTTTGCCAACTCAGCAATCAAACTTATTTCATTTATTATAGGAAATTGAACGTTGTTACGTTAGTCAGAAGCACCGATTATCTATGTATTCTGTGTTTCTGAGAATGTCAGACCAGAAGATAGTCCAATCCTGGTGGTTCGGGAAAAACCGTGTAGCGTGCAAAACCAATCAAAACTAAAAAGTCGCTCGGATCTCATTCTGTAGAAGACACTTCGGACTATCTGTCTATGTAAAATAATCAATAGATTGCTACTTTCATTTCTGGAAATCCGAGGCGGTTTTCAGAAGATCAGATGGAAAACTGGCCTTTGAAATTTTCTCAAAACTAGTTTTTCGTTGCAAAAGCATGTCTTAGAGCAGCGGCTATATAATGCTGAAATCGCAGGTTATTGTCTCTTTTCTAACAACAGGTATTCTAAAACAACCGAGTACGTTGTATTTTGTAACGAATAGTATGCAGAAAATAATGGAGAATTCGCAATCGACTCTGACTTGAGCTAGTGGGAGAAAAAAATAAACATTGTGAGCCTATATATACTGGCTATAGCCAGTATGAAGACATGTTGGGTACCAAAATAGTAAAGAATAACTCAGTCCTCCGCGAATGCGAATTTTCCATCACCTCATCCTTATTTTCTTATTTCCCTAAGCGTGTCTTTTCTAACTTGGCGTGGAAACAAGATTGCACATGGTTCTCTCAAAGAAAACATTCGCTTAGTCACAAAAAAATTAAGAAAACAATAAGCCAGTAGTATGCAGAAGTAGAGAAATCAAATTATAAAATGAAGAATTATCAACACCGTTTTATTTTTAAACATAATTTGACGTTTCGTTCTGTTAACTTCTTCAGACACATAGACAAATAGTGAAACTATACATCGAAATAGAAAATACTTATAAACACACGCGGACGAAAAAGAATGAAAACGTTTTCATAAAAATAAAACGCTGTTGAATGGTTAAATGCGTAAATAGTTGACTAGTTCGAGACGCATAACTTACAAGTCACAGTATGAAACGACGAAATTCGTACATAAAATAAAGTGCGCCTAGAATAAGTAGAATTTATCGCTTACATTCGGATACCTTTAAGAAACTTCTCCCCAGTGTGAATCTTAGCGGACGTCATACAATAGTAACAGAACATCGTTACAAGAATTTTGGCTTCACTCAAAGTAAGTGAATGACTAGTCTTTTCAAAATGCTTATGTAAAGCAAATTTAGCCTTTTTTAGAAATAGCGTGCCAAACGTGTCAAAAACCAACTTTTTTAATTTTAGAAATCCTGTACCTCAATAAAGAAAGGTTTAACTAAAATTCCAAAAAGACACCTCCGCATTAGTGTCTTGAGCACCTGAGATAAAATTTTTGACTCGATCGGATGAAACCGAAGGCGGGTCGTAATGCGTAGCAAAGAAGCCCGGTAGCAACAAAAATACTTTTAGAGGAAAACGCATTTTGTCCACAGGTCACTTTTTTCAGCGCGCTTACCGCGACGCTTATATCTTTACAAAAAACCACCAAAAAATTCGCGAAAACATTGTGAAGAAAACACTTTCTTCTATTAGACTGTGTGTAAGAAAATCCCTATTTTTCTTTTTCCTCAAATTCTAATTTCCCCTATTTCCTTAAATCCTTATTTTTTTAAATTCTTTTTTCCTTAAATTCTTATTTCCTTAAGGGACCCCCTCAGAAATTATCTCTGACACAGTACATCCGATCTTGACGAAACTTTCCAGAAATGTTCGGCACAATGAGTTACGGAATGAAAAATTTTTTTTGTCTCCAAGTCTTACGGTTCAGGAGTTTTCCAGAGACCAAGCTCCAAAAAGGCCCCTGAACGGCGTCCAAGACTTTTTAATATTCTTCAAGCTGGCGAGTTCGGGTTTGTTTTATTTTAAACTAGACACCTAACTACATCGACTGACCGGTGCCGATTTTTCAGTTAAGCCTTTATTGGTTTTCCAGGCAACCAACAACCTCCGAAACCCAAAAAATCCTTCCGGATTTTCTAAAAATCCTCAGTTTGACAAAAAAGTAAGACCTAATTCAAAAATCGACGCCGCTCAGCCGATGTAGTTTCTTTTCCTCTTTCAAACAAAAAGAAACTCGATCAGAACGAAACTTAATCAGAAAGAAAAGAAAGAATGAACTCTCTATGACAAACCGCTATTAAAAATCTTGGGACGCACTTCAGGTGTAACTCTTATATAGTGGAAACGCTGTATGAAATACTCGATTTTAGGACTTCTGGGGAAATGCCTGTAACTTTTTGATGCAAGGCCATACAGAGTTGTGCGAAGTCTTATTTTGATTAGAAACGTTTGCTCTCCAAAGCTGTGTTTTTCGATCTAATCTAAGTTTCGATCTATCTAATTTAAGTATCCAGGAAAAAACCATTATTTGAAGAATCATTTTTTCGAGGCTCTTAGAAAACTTGCTCAAAATCCCCGAAAAACCACTTTTGTAAACAAAAAGCAATACAGATTCTGGAAGTAGACACTTCAGGCTATCTTTCCATGTGCGTATCTCAAAACCGATTTTTTTTGATCGAAAATTACCATTTCTGAGGGGGGCCCTTAAATTCTTATTTTCTAAAATTCTGAATCCTTTAAATCCTCGCATTCCTATTATCTTGTGTGCCGTATTTACTTGAATTCTTATTAGTTTAAATTTTACTCTAAATGTATCCTGTGAGTTAGATTATCGCATCGTAAAGAGCACGCAGCGGTGTATACGCATTATCTAGATAACGATAATTGGACAGCTCTCTAACGCCAAGTTTTAGTGTCTTTTTAATACCTTCCTAACTTTTCAACATTTAAAGTGACGAAGAAAATTTTGTGTTCAATGTCCACAGGTACGAGTAGATACCGTGTGCTATCCAACCGTGTACTTAATTCGATGTTAACTTTTTATACAAAAATCTCTGTTATCCGTCCAAAAGTACAATAACCCAAAGTAGTTTGAAATACTAAAGTCTTACTTTCGTTACATTAGTAGATAGAAGAAAGTGTTCTCTTTAAAATCAGATCTAACCAAAACGTTCATTTTGCTTGGTTCGTCCGGGCTAACGAATTTCCCGGGACAAATAGGATTGTTCCTTTTTTCGCTATGAGACCCTCAGAAATCTGTGAAGACGTAGGTTATTGACTATGCTACTTGATCCTTGATCTTCATATTTTTCATCGCCGTAAATCGTAGCAACTGATAGATCAGAATTAATTGAATGAATATGATCACTAATTTCTTTGACGAATTCCCTTACTGGTCCCATAATCAATGCACGTGGTTGACGATCACGCTCACGACCTACACCCTCATTTTGTAAACGTTCAACTAACGGCAATATAAATGCCAAAGTTTTACCCGCATAAGGTCCTACAACAAAGATAAGGGTATAGGGTAAATTGTCTTACAAATGTAAGGTGCCGCTAATTGAAAGTTTTCACAAATTTTCTTTTTTCTTTTAACACGCATGTTCTGATTCGCCAGGAGCTGTTGATCACGAATATGACCTTATTTTTTCGATTTGACCGAGTCTTCACCGAGAAAAATCCAAAACACTGAATGGTCCTAAAAAACCCTCGTTTTTGAGAGATTTCTCTATAAAATCTCGTAGCGCTTTGAAACAAATTTTTTCAGATTCTCCATGAGAAACTGAATCTAGAAAAGTGTCCTTTAAGACTCTAACCCAAAAACGAAGATTTTGGCAGAATCCTAAACAGGCACTCCTCAAATCCGGAGGACCTCAGTTGCAAACCTATCTTGTTTTTTGTGTGAAGAGATAGATCCTTCATTCAGGAGTCAAAAGAACGGCCTTGGCACGCGCAACAAAAGTATATACCGCTTTTTTCAAAATTCTTTTTCATTGCTGAGATATTTAAGCTTCTTTCAACAGTAGCGACATTTTCGACAAATCCTTCAAGTTATCAGCAAATATCTTAGCCCCATATCGCATTAGGAGGCTGAAAATATGGGTTCCCACGTTTGATCTGACGCTGAATCCGAATAAATTACCTCTAGAAAACTCCAAGATTTCCAAAGTGCTTTTTTAGAAAACCAGGTCTCTGGAAAACCTTTGAAAACCGACGATTTTTATAATGGTCTAGACTGAAAGAGCATCGAATTCTGAGTAAAATGATACCTCTGCGGAGCTTATAGCATGTTTCTACGCAGAGAACAATAAATAACACTGAAAAACACCTTTTCTGGACTCGATGTTTTTCGGCTTTTTCGGTGTTATCTATTTTTCTCTGCGTAGAAACATACTATACGCTTCGGAGAGGTCTCATTTTTGACCTCTCAGTGTTCTGGGTTTTTCTCAGTGAAGACTCGGTCAAATCGAAAAAACAAGGTCATATTCGTGTTCAACAGCTACATAACACAACAGAATAATGGATCAACGGACAAAATCAAACAACTCGAATCGCTCATTACTTCCGAGGAGATTCAATTGACGGTCGAGTACTTGGATTCTCCTGAACTTCTGTCCTTGATCGAACTTCATCAGAACATCGATTTACAACTAACATCAACCAATGAAGATTATCTTGCAGTGATCAATCGACATAAAAATCGTCGGTTTTCAAAGGTTTTCCAGAGACCTGGTTTTC